CCACAGTCCTCCCATTTATGCTTCCCACATAGCTAAGATGACGGATGAGTACCACCACAGCCGGCTTTTTCTGTTGAGACCAGGTCTTAGCTTTTTCCCAGTCTGGACTAGAATGGTGATCCTCCTCATCTCAACCTCCTGAGTATCTTGGATTACAGGTGTGAGCCATTGGTGCCCAGATTCAAAATATTGTTAATACAAAGTTGGTATCTTATTGTTTTGATTTCCCCCTGATCCCTTTTGGTTAAATGTGCTATTCCTGAATTATTAGATATTTGGCTTTTTTCTGTGAATTTTCTTTATCTATTCTTTGGTCATTTCCAAAACTGTATATTACCTTTTCTTTACTTGTTTAAAGGAGTTCTTTGCATATTAAAGATATTGATAATTGTACACAGCAAACATGCTTCCAAGTACCACTAGAAAATATCAGATATGTGTAAAGTCATTTCTCTTTCCTGTTTGTAGAAGAGCCATCCCTTTGCTTTCTTCTTCCTTTCTCTGTGCCCTTTTGGTACTCTACAGAATCCTTGTTAGTATTACCACCAAACTACAAGAGAGTAAGGGATATGAAATCACACATTTGAGCACGGCTTATGACAGCAAGTTTAGTTAGAAAGAAGATGAAAATTCCTCACTTGATGTATATAAAGGATTATGTGGAAGTGTCTTTTTTTTATTATTATTCATTTATTCATATGTACATACATTGTTTGGGCCATTTCTCCCCTCTGCCCCCCGGCCCTTCCTTCTCTCCCCACCCCCTTACTTCCAGGCAGAACCTGTTCTGCCCTTTTCTCTAATTTTGTTGAAGAGTAGACATAAGCAATAATAAGAAAGATATTGTGTTTTTGCTAGTTGAGATAAGGAACCCTAATTGATTCATCTCTATATGACCTCTTCACTACTTCCCAGTCACCTTTCCATATTGACCTCTTTCATTTTAAAGTTATTGTATTAGCTCCTCTGCAGTGTTCTATTTCTTCAAATTTTTCATGAATAACTTTTCCTTCAGAACCATGAATAATGATATTCCAGTGAAAACATAAAGCTTAGTGACATAATGGCTGGTGAAATATAAAAAAATGCAGCTAGTCATTTGGATGTTGTAATGATCAAATATTTCAATAACTGATTACGTATTTCATTTTCTAATCCAGATGTTTGGCATTCAATAAATAAGGATTTTTAATGACTTGGAACAAAAAGAATGTGTGGACAACTAAAAAATGAAATGAGTAGCTACAGAGCAAGTATTTGAAATCAATGTTAATTCACATTCAAAATGTAATATACTTAGAACTTGTGAGCTCTGTCTGTCTATCTATCTATCTTTCTATCTATCTATCTATCTATCTATCTATCTATCTATCTATTATCTATCTACCCATCTACCTATCATCTATCTATCGTCTGTCTATATATCTATGGTCAGTTTCCAAATGTTTGAAATATTTATGAAACTCTAAACTAGAATGTTTTCCTTAAGCAGAAAACAACAGAAAAGCTGTGCTCTTTTTCACATTATAAAAATAAACAAAAAGCCCATAAAGAGTTCTCATTAGTCTCAAGGAATTGGCCTGAAAGACAGGTCAAAGTGATATAATATTAGGGAAAGTAAGAGTCTAGAAATGCCATGCTTTTCAGAAAGGCATTTGAGTTGTCAAGTCTTGCAGATGTGTAGAGGCAGGAGAAATAAATTCTTAATAATATTCAGAACAATACATTCTGAGTCAGTCCCCCATCTCCCCTGAAGTAAGAAGTTAGCATCTTTCTCCTTCTAATGTGTGTGTTGTCCAGTCATTCACGTTGTTCCTTAATGTTCTAATTTTACTTTTTAGGTGAAATTGACAGTCTTTCTTGGTGATAAACCAGTTTTAATAAGAATGGAATATATTTTATAGCTTGATTATATTTATTGATAAATATTAGAAATCCTGCTTGAGGTAATTATTGAGATCAGGAAACTCAAAATTCTCTTTCCATCTTTAGATAAAGCTTCAGAAGTATACATCTGTAATTGACTCTTACAAATTAAATTATTGAGAATGAAGAGAGGGTTCATTGTTTGTCTAGGAAGCAGATTACCTTGTAACTTATAACATTTAAATTACTCTTAAAGATAATAGTTATATATGTCATTAGTGACTTGTTTTCTGGGGAAATGTATGCATTATTATGCTTCCTTGTTTTGTTTGATCTTAAATAATCTTAAAGTATGGATTTTGATTTTAGCTTAATATTGAGTTTTAAAATTAGGTGTAGTAGATTCTATCATTTTAAACTTTCAGTTTATATCTTTAATGCCTTTTGCTCTTGGAAAATTCTAATTCAGGAAGCCAAAAAAAATCAATCTTGTTCTGCAAAAGAAAAGTATTTGACAACCAAGACAATCAGCATTTAAGCAAACTGAAAAATATTTGCTTGCCAAAAATCGTCAACACTTATGAAGACTTAAGAAAATGTAGAAAATGTAATAAGACTATATATAAATTAATATCTATTGTCTCTACCCTGAATCCATGAAGTAGATTCTTATCTTGTGGCTTTACTTTATTCAGTAAAAATAGTATACAGTATAAGGGGCAAATTCACTTTCTCAATATAATGAGACAGACATACAATGTGTTAGAAATTTAAGAAGCTGTCCTAGTTATACTCTGTCATGATAAACATTTATTTTCCCTCCAGCTTTTCTATATATGGGTCATATGTTTCTGTTTTCTGCACTAAGCTTAGAAAATGAGCAAGTAAGATTTGGGGCTCAGTCTATTTCTTTAAAAAAAACACTGATACCACTGGTCATAGGGGTCCTTGATGTGCTGTTCTTTGGCATTGATTATATTTTAATTTGGGGGCACAAGTGACAAATTAGTGGCATTTAATAGTAAAAGATGATAATATCTCTTCGTGTTATGTTACAGTAAAAATTAGTCTTTCCACTTATTTTAATCTAGACTTGTTTCCTTTATTTAAAAAAATTTTTTTTGATTGGTAGTAGCAAGAATAATCCCAAGTAGTCATTTTATAGTGCTTCAAGGGCAAAAGCAATCAGAAGACTTAACTATTATCCTTCTGCACTCAACATTTGTTTATCAAGTATACCAATGGGTTACTCATTAGTTAGTTAATTAATTGAACAATTAAAGTTCATTCATCATATATTTTTGTACAAAGAGGATTTCATTTGAGACAATTATCTACTCTGACATGTGGTAGAGAGAAACCAAATAATCTTGATTTAACCTAAAGTGAGACAAAGTTAACCAGGGTCACCTAGGGGAAGAAAAGATCCTTAAGGACTTGTTTAGATAGAAAAAAAAAAAAGTCTTTAGTCAAAGACTTGTCAATCCTGTTTTTAAGGATTGATTAGGTACTTGGGTTGTTCTTTTTATCCATGGAGAAAATGAAAAATAGCAAGTTCTTTTCTGCTTTAGACCAACCCTCATATAAAAAAAAGTCTTTAGTCAAAGACTTGTCAATCCTGTTTTTAAGGATTGATTAGGTACTTGGGTTGTTCTTTTTATCCATGGAGAAAATGAAAAATAGCAAGTTCTTTTCTGCTTTAGACCAACCCTCATATACTTTATGACAGTTAGGTCTCTCCTGAGCCTTCTTTTCTTCTGGACAAATTATACTAACTCTTCAGTCTATACTCAAAGGTCCTATTTTTCAACCATTAAATCATTTTATTGTTCTTTCTTGTATTTTTTCCAGTTTTTTCAGAGCATTTTAGAAATATAGAGTCTTAAATTTGATATATTTGCATATATCAAGTAGGTTAGACCTTCAGGAAGACATTTATTTTCAGTCTCTGAGAAAGATGGCCAGCATGACAGGTTAGTTAAGTAAGAAGACAGAGAAAGCTAGGTGAACAACTCAATATTTTAACCTAATGGATTTATATGATCAGAAACAGTGAAACTTGTGCCTGAAAAAATGTCCAAAAGGTTCATTATAAGTCCATTGGGAAGATAACAAATCCACAATATTTATTTTCAAAATAACTAGATTTACTTTGATTTTATTTTAAATAACTTTGTGCTTCTTTTTAGTAATTATCCTCTGCAGAGGCAGAGATTAGTAGGTGAGCTGACCTAATTTCAATTTCAGAACAAAAAATATATCATTGAAGTTGATGACCACTGTTACCTCAAGAAAGGACATGGGGACATCAAAGGAGTAACCTCAGCTTAATAAAAGGGTAGAACCATTTTTTTCAAGCAGATATTAATGCCAAGCAGGGCATTGGTAAAACAATGCCTACTGAAGAATTATCTTTTTTGTTTTGGGTAAAACATGGTCTCAAGGAGAGTGTGCTATTTTATTGCCTTTGTTAAGATGCTGTCCTAGGTTCATTATTGTCTTCTTTGCAGTATCATGGTGATTTGGGATGGTTAGGATACTGTACTTGTTTCAACCTCTGCATTTCATTAAGGGGCAACATTGAACCCATAACCTTATATATGAATCACCTCCTCCTTTAAAGCCATTTCTGTGAGAACAGACTCCATTGAAATGTAAAACTTTTTAGTGTTTATTATTTGAATTTAAATACATGGATAATTGAATTTGTATTTCTTTGATAACCTTAAACCTGAAGTCTTATTTATGCTTAAACCAAAATATCTAGCATTTACCATACTCCCTATCCTGGGGTGCACTATGCACTATAAAACTGGGTGAACTGCTTCATAGGCTCCATGAGAGAAATGCAATCACCACGAAAAGATGGTACTGGGTTCTTTCCAATAGCCTTCATGTAAATCAACAATAAATAATAGGGATCACAACAAAGCCAGCTTATAAGAGGTTTAATTCCCCAGATGGAAAGCTGCACAATTCACCCATCGCTAATTTATTTTTACTTTAAGGCTTTAGAAAAATATAAATCAGTTCTGCCTATATTGAAAAGCCACAGGCAGAACTTAGAGGGCTCTTGCACTGAATGGTGTGCAGTAGTGAAATGTTTATATTTTACACTAACCCCTCTTTGAAAGCTAATGCGGTATGGTCTTACCATTTTTGCAGACAGGACAACATTGTTCTGGTTCATAGACTGGGTTGACACACTCAGGAACTGCGCAGTCTGCTACAACACAGTGAACTTCATTGCTGGGCTCACAGCGACACCATTCACATGGAGAGGGCTAGGAACAAATCTAAAATTAGCCCCTTTTCTCCTATAACTTAATGCTTGCACATTCATATGTTGTCAGAAGACAAAACATCACTGTTTATATTGGCTTTACTGATTTAACTCCATTTACCATGTGTATGATTGTTCTTCCCCAATGGAAGGCAATCTAGACATCCAAGCCAAGAAGGTTGCAATGCACAGCTTAGGTTTCTGTGAATAATAGAATATCCACATATGACTCTTCCTACATCTCTGTCCCTACTTTCTAGAGAAACGTTTGGACAACTAACATGTCACTATATTTGGTTTCCAGATGCACTGGTTGCTCTGCTTCCTGTGGTAAACAAGAATGAAACTGGGACATACATAGTTTTTGCCAGTTGTCATTTTCACTTCCTGACAGAGTAGGGTTACTCAGAAACCAGAAAATGGTGAGCACACATTCCTATCCTTTGTATGAATGCATTTTCAAGCTAACCTAGACTCCAAATGGTGCTTTTTCGATGTGAATTTTAGAAGAGATTGTATTTAGCATCCAAACATCAAGATAATGCCTCTTGAAAGATTTAGTGAATATCTTTCATCTTGCCTGCTTTCTTTTATGAGTGAACTAAAATCGACTGACCTAAAAGTAAGGAGTCAAAGACTCTAAAATTGGAATTGGGAAGTGATTAATTAAGAGAAAACAGTTAAAACAACAGAAAAGAATTTTTTTCTTTATAGTACTTACCAAACAAGAATGAGTTTAGGATTTCCTTTCTAGAAACTGCCTATACCTCAAGGCATCAGCCAGTCTGTTACTTTTTATCCTGTTTAAGTTCTACTCTGTTCCTAATGAAAGTGAGGTTTAGAATTCTGGAATGAAAGCTTGTCTCAGAATCATGCATGTCTATACTTCTCAAATCAAACTATTTGTTCTTAGAACATTCTGCCATCAACACAATGCCACAAGTCACTGGCAAATTGTGTTAATGAAAACCCTTTTTTCTTGTTTCTTTCCACAATTCCTGTTAGCTCTTGTTTCTTCCTGGACCTGGCAATCTGAGTAATATCAATGCTCCCTGTCTCAAACAGTCCGGGGGCGGGGGGGGGGGGAAGGAAGGGGAGGAGAAGTGGTGTTGGAAACCTTTTAATTAATGATTTTATAAATTCAGTTTACCTTTGCATTGTGCTTAAAGAATGATATCTTGACTAATTATTTTACTTTCAAATTTAATCTCAACAAGAGAATTAGCCATAGAATCTGTGGTGAAGTATTACTATTTATTGATGTGATCAGTAAGTTTATTGAAAAGTACAATTAAGCTCTTTGCCATGTGGTGAGTTGTGTTTAAACATTTCAGAGGAATCTATTGCAATATCCCAAAAGCTGGGATTTAACCTGAAGCTCCTCTCTACTGGATAATCTCAGTAAATCAAGAAAAAAAACTTGATTGTACAATATGCTCCTACAACATGTTATTTGATATTTGGTGGAAAAAATTTTGAATGAAGAAAGTGAGAGGGGTTGGAACTGGGGCTGCTATATTGCTTCTTATTTTGTAAATCTCATTGTGATGCTGAAAATTCCCAACTGAACTTGTCAGAAAGCCCCTCCTTTCCTGGTTAGTGCAAAGAAGTGTTTTTACATGGCCTTCTGAAGTACACTGAAGATTTAAAATATATTTGTTGCCAATGTAAGAGAAAAAGGGAGCCACTCATTTGATCCTTCTATATCTGCCTCTTTCATAGCTGTGATTGCTTACTCTTCCTGTTCGCTATCTTGCTGAAGAAAGGCTTGAGGTACAACTCTAGTGGGCTAATTCTAGGAATAAGAAGTTCCTGAAGAGACAGCAATTTTTTAGTGTAAGATGTTCACTTCAAAGTAAATGTGGTCTTTGAGAAAGATCTGTTGAACTAGTAGTTTGATGAAGAATACCATTCTAATTTAAATAAATTAGTAAGTTACTATGAATTGTGCTAAGCAATTTAACTATATCAATTTACTTATGTGTAGTACATTAAAGATCATCATGGAACTTTTGAGTGTTTAACCTTCTTGCAAATGTGAGTTAGAATATTTTAGTAGGACAAGGTTAAGCTGTCATGTGGCTGCATTTTGGAGGATTGCAACATAAGTTAGAAAAATAAAAATATCCCCCTATTAGTGATTGCTAATCATGCCCTGAACCTGGCTTTATTCATGTACTATATAGTCTATCCCTTTCTGACCTAGAATTTTTTAGTGTAGGTATGCTACTTCCTCTTTTATTTTCATTAAATTGTGTTTTTCAAATCATTTATCTTTACTTCAGTTAGTCTCTCCACACCTCAAGCCTCTACATGCCCTCTGACCTGGATTTAAATACTCCATCTAATTTAACACATTGACCCCACACTGAAGTCCCTTTCTGACCTTGACCACCTTGTCGAGTGTCTTTCATTTCATAATTTTACCAGATCTGACACCATTGTTATTCTTTCTCAATTTGACTTTCTCCATTGCCCCTGTCTTCCTTTGCATTTTTGAAAAGCTATTGCTTAAAATGTAGTAAGTTGGAGCAAGCAGTTTGCTACCTTGACATTAAATTCAGACTTTAGAAATCCTCAGCTTTGTGAGTCAATGCCCTGTATAGCTATCCTTATCTCAACCAGCAAAAACCCTTGTTCCTTCCTATTATTGCTTATACTCTCTCTACAACAAAATTAGAAATAAGGGCAAAATAGTTTCTGCTGGGTATTGGGGGTGGGGAGAGGAGGGGGCGGAGTGGGTGGTAAGGGAGGGGGTTGGGGCAGGGGGGAGAAATGAACCAAGCCTTGTATGCACATATGAATAATAAAAGAAAAATGAAAAAAAAAAAAAAGAAATCCTCAGCTTACAGTGCAAAGTTCTGAATGGTTTGGTACTTTTGATAAATCTACATCTTAAGCACTAAACTGGCTACAAATTTACTTTTATTGGTTCTTCAATATGGAAACTACAGATTAAACCTGAAAATGCCAAAGATTAAACAATAAAGCTCCCCTTACAGAAGCAGAAGATGCTGGAACAAGTAGTTGTAAAAAAATTATTCATATTAGATTTTTTTTTAAAGAGTACCAAATTATGTCAGGAAATGGCTTTTGTTGCCTGGAGATTTGGTAAGTCAGATGACTAAAAGACACTATCCTAAAATTTTATATAAGCAAAACCTTTCTCTAAGAAATCTCACAGGACAGTATTTCTAAGCAATCTTTGGAAAATAAAGTAATATTCACTACATATACTTTTTCATGAACTATAGCTGAAATTATGATTAGAGGTCACATTTATTTGTTAATGTATATATTAGATGTGTTTTATATGTATTATATCATTACATGTGTGTTATAAATCTGTAACACCACCAAGTTATTTTTTCTGAATATCTAATATGGAACCCTCCACTTAAGCAGGAACTGCATTTTGTCTGGATTCTACTATCATTGAAGACATACTGAATGCTGTCCTAGCTGCCCCTAGATTACAAAAATGTTTCCCTGACATATTACCATATTACAAATAGATTTTCTCTTTCTCTCTGTCTCTCTTCCATACATTTGGATGTATACATACATTCATATGTGTGTATGTATGTATATATACATATAGGTACACATGTACATATATACTTACACGTATATATATATATGAGTGAATAGAGTAATATGAGACTCTCAAATTTCAGGTTAGGTAACTAGAGTTCAAATTTTCTATCTTGGTATTAAATGGAAGCATGGCAACCTGCTTAGAAATGGTTAACTTCTGAATACCTTTAAGCTGAAATCCCAAAGTAACTGTGATTCTTGATAATTTTTGGAGAATTGGAAGGTAAGTACAAGTATCCTGGAAGCAATGAATCAATGTTCCATGATACTTTAAATTGAAAAAGTAGCCTAAAAACTACAAACTTAGGTTACTGAAATAATTGAATAATCCCAGAAAAATGGTTAAGTATGTTCTCTGTGAGAATGTGGAAACCAATATAATTGAGATAGGATTGTTAGACTTGAGATATTGTTGTAGACTGGATGGTTACATAGACCTTTCTATGTAGTTATAGAAAATACACATTTATTTTGTATTCTAAATACAGCAAGATTATCATCTATACCTCAGGAAAGCCTGGATATTTTGTCTCTAAAACAATCTATCTGGCATCATTAGTTATGCGGTGGCTGTTAATGACATTATTTAGAGTTTATCTAGGAGGAAATGATCATTGTATACAAGGCCTGTCATACAGATTTAACCCTCAAAGTGACAAGAAGCATACCAGTCTTCAGACTCATGTTCTTTACCAGTTGAATCTGATGAACATTGATAAAATGTTCTTAAACGTTCAGGGTTCTGAATTAGAAAAATTGGAAAAGAATATTTACTTGGCTTTTTGGGTCACTGTTCCCTAGTGGTTAAAACCAAGTGTTGTATAGCTTTATTACATGTGTTTCATTCTCAGATGCTTTACTTACTAGCAGTGACTCTTAGGAGGAAATTTTCTAACATTTCCCCTAATTTCTTAATTCATAAAACAGGAATAAAAATAAACATATGGCAACACCATAGAATTACTACTATGAAGCACATAAAATAGATAAGAAATATTATTCACTTGCATACTTAGTGATGGCTTTCTGGAAGAAATTTAAAAAATAAAAAAGGACAGCATAAGATTATATTTTAAAACAATATTTAGTGTTTTTCTCAAAATGGAATCTGTTTATGGAGGTGGATGCAATAAAATTTTACAACACGATGTAGTGGGAGGAATTTTGATCTAAAAAAATTAATCATGTCAGAAACACACTGAAGAATAACTGTTATTAGAAGTCTCAGATGAAGAGTTGTTGTGAATGGTTAAACTGATCACTATCAATCACTCTGGGAAAGGCAGGAAGGAAGGAAAGAAGGAAGAAAAAAGAAAGTAAGGCAACAAATCTATTTTCTTTTCTTATAGTCTTATCACCAAGTGTAAACTCAAACATCCCCTCCCCAGTGAGGTCTTCTCTGAC